TCTTCACACTATGCCTTGATCCATGTATCACAGAGCCCTGATGTTTCAAGGTTGAGCATGCATCACTATTTACCTCTGTCCCACTTAGCCCATGCAAGCCTTGGTGTCCCCCTATTTACCTTGTTCTTCCACCCCCTCCTCCTACACTGAAAATGTTTATATATTAATTAAAAGTGCTTCTGGAGTACAGATTGTTATTGTTCTGTGCTGTTGAGTCGGTTCTGACTCATAGCAACACTGTATAGGGTTTCTTAGGAAGAGCTGGTAGGTTTGAACCATTGATCATTTGGTTAGTCCAGTGCTTATACTCCAGTGTCACACATACAAAAAAGGTGCACAAATACCAAGTTTACAGTTTAGTGAATTATCCCAAAGTCAACATTATAAACCAGTTCAAGAAACAGTATGACCAGATTCCAGAATTCACTTTTAAGCTTTCTTGTAATCTTTCCCCAAAAGAGCTACTGTTCTCATTTCTAACCCAGATAATTGTTTTGTTTTGAAGTTGATATAATTGAAATTGTACAGAATTTATTTTGAGTTTGCCTTCTTGCCTTCCACACTATATGTGTAAGATTCATCCATGTTACATGTTGCTGTAGTTTGCTCATTTTGTTATGTAATATTCTTCTGTATGCTGTGCCACATTGTATCTGTTCTGCTTTTGATAGACAATTGAATTGTTTCTAGATTTTAGCTATTACAGTTAGTGCTGCTGAGAAGGTTGTTGTACATACACATGTGCATACATTTCTCTTGGGTCCATATCTAAGGATGGAGTTGTTATCCATAAGGCACATTACTGTGCTTATTGTAAGAACTTATCCTTCTTTGATAAGTGGTTGTGTTGTGCTGCTGTGAGCATTTCTATGTGTTTGTCCTGGAGTAAAACTGACTGTACTACATCTTTAGTAGTAGATGCAAAGGAACAAAATTGCTGGATCAGAGCATTTGTAGATCTTTAACTTCATTAGATGACATAAAATTGTGTTAATCAAAAGAGTATGCATTCCTTGTTCCATATTTTTGCCAACAATTATCTGACATGAAATTTTTGTCAGTATGGGTGTACAAAGGTTTATTGTGGCTTTGATACGCATGTCCTTGAGTACTAATGTTGTTTAAACCTATTTTTATTTTCTTACACACCATTTTGGTTTTTAAATTTAAATTGTTTTTCTCCTTATTTTTTAGTGTGGAGATGTATTTTCCTCAAAATGATTCTTGGATTGGTTTGGCACCCCTAAACATTCCTCGCTATGAATTTGGAATATGTGTTTTAGACCAAAAAGTTTATGTTATAGGTGGCATTGAAACTAATGTGCGTCCTGGCGTCACTATCAGAAAACATGAAAATTCAGTAGAATGCTGGAATCCTGATACAAATACCTGGACTTCTCTAGAGAGGATGAATGAGAGCCGAAGCACCCTGGGAGTGGTAGTTCTTGCAGGAGAACTTTATGCTTTAGGTGGTTATGATGGACAATCGTATTTACAATCAGTAGAGAAGTATACTCCCAAAATAAGGAAATGGCAACCTGTGGCACCAATGACTACAACAAGAAGTTGTTTTGCTGCAGCTGTATTGGATGGAATGATATATGCCATTGGTGGGTATGGTCCTGCCCACATGAACAGGTATTTAACTTAATAATCACATTACAATGTAGATTTTTTTATATACATGTAGATTTTTCAAAGTAGCATTAACAGTGATTTCTGAGTTTTAAAAATTTATGTGTATGAATGAACTTCCTTTTATAATGTTTAAGTAGCTTTGATAGGCACTTGAGAAATTTAATCTGCTCTATGAGCTTAATTGTCGTCATTTAATTTGGGAATGTAATTCAGCCTAACAAATGAATCCCTCTTATAGTGTATCCAATCATTCACTGTGAATGGATTAAACTTTAAAATTCAGAAACATGAAAATAATAGGAAGCAAGACAACTTTGGAGTCCTCATGTTGCTGTGGGATAAGCACTGGACTGTTAACCACAAGGTTGGTAGTTCAAACCCACCAGCTGCTATTTAGAAACCCTATAATAGGGTAGGAGTCGGTACCGACCCGACGTCACTTAACAAGAGCAACAACAAGGCACCTTAACTTTTGGGTAGCACATAGTCAGTCTTGTAGTTCATTACTTGTTAGAAAAAGGAAATGCATACATGATACTGCAATGCATCATAAATTGAAAGCCTTAAATATTCCTTTCTGGATTCTTATTCTGTTATCATCATGTGTATCTCAGTTTTTCTGGAGGCTTTATTTGAGATTTCTATGTTCTTGAGTCCTGGTGTGGCACTGTAAGATAAACAGTAGACTGCTAACCACAAGATTGGTAGTTTAAACCCACCAGCTGCTCTTTGGAAACCACCCAATACAAGGTCATTATGAGTCAAAACCGACTCAACAGTACTTAGTAACTTAACAACAGCAACAATATTCTAGTGAGTTGGGATCTACTTGGTGGCATTTAACAACAACTCCAAATACAGGAAAATATATATGAGAAAATAAAGTGGCTGCTTATGTGGAAAATTTATCATAATTCCTAACCAGTACTGAAAATTAATATTCCAAAGGTTTTATCTCTTATAGTAACTGTTGTTAAGTGCCATCGAGTCGGTTCCGACCCACAGCGGCCCTGTATAGGGTTTCTGAGGAGTGACTGGTGAGCTTGAATTGCCAACCTTGTAGTTCAAACAGCTTTGCAGTCTGGCGCATTAACCCACAAAGCCACACCAGGACTCCAGTAGTAACTAAGTGGTATGTTTTTTATTGATGATGAGCATTTTAATGAAAAACTGACTTCTTACTGAAAAATAATGGCATAGCCGTGTTTTCATCTATAAATTTTTATTTCTTTTTAAGCGGTATCTTTTTTTTTTTTTATCTTGTATTGCCCTACTGGTTTAAAGGGAAGGGATCCCTGATAACATAGTGGATTATGCATTGGGTTGCTAACCTCAAGATCAACAGTTAAAATCTACCAGCCACTCTACTGGAGAAAGATGAGGCTTTCTGCTCCCATAAAGATTTTTAGTCTCAGAAATACTGTACAGGGTCGCCATGAGATGGAACTGACTCGATGGCATATAGCAGCAGCAGTGCGTCTCTATTTGAAAAGCTGCTGGCAAAAAATTATAAAATAAAATGTTAAGTATTTTAGTTTTGAGATTATGCTCTTAAAGTTTACCTTCTTGCTACGGTTTTAACAACTCTTTTTGCCCAATGATTTGGGCCTAATATTTTTTATTCCAGTGACTTTTCAGAAACATACTGTTATCTAGTCTCTGTTCTGAACTCTAGAGTGATGGCACAGCCCCTCTCATGTGTTTAAGGTTTTTTCACGAAGTTAGATCAGGTCCAGAATAAGCTCAACAAACTTGCCTTTGTTTTCTTTCAGGGCTATGCATAGCGCTAACGGGCTTCCAGAATTATCTAGGGAAGCTTTTTTAGAATTTCTGATTTGATTCAGATGTCCATAATGCAAATGAGAAATACCCAGGAGCCTCTGGAATGCAGACCTTACTTAAACCCCTGAATTCTCCTGCTGAATCACTAATATTTTTATAATTCAACTAGTTTGTATCTACAGTCGTTGCTTTGTAATAAACCATCCTAAATCTTTATGTAAGGGGAAAAAACATTTCTCCTTTCTCTTCATCTTTCTTTTTCCGTAATGGTGTAGAAGCTCCCTGGTCTCCTTAGAAAATACCTATATTCAATTTGTGCTTTTCAGTTTATGGTTTTCAAAGTACAAGGGTGAGTCAAAAATTATCTGCACTCTGGCTATAGAATTTATTTTAATCAACTTTTCCAAAAGACAAATACATAATTTTTTTATATATCTCCTTTGCTTTTCAGTATACTTTGTCCATCTGTCAACAAGCTTTCATATTCCCTTATATAAAAATATTTTAGGCTGAGTTGTGAATGTACTGCTTAAATGTACTTCTTCAACAGAAGAGAATCTTTGTCCTTGATGGGCTGCTTTCAGGTGACCAAACAGGGAAAAGTCCAATGGAAGAAGATCAAGACTAGAGGGAGGATGCTTTAACACCACAAATTTAAGTTTTTGCAGAAAGTCAACAGTGTAGGCAGAGGTTTCTGGGTATGCATTGTCATGCAAGATCACAATGCCCTTGGATAGCAGTCCTCTGAGTTTAATCCAAAGTTTAGGCTACACCCTTTCAGTGAGCATCTCTACAATGAGCACTGTTAATTGTTTAACCTTTTCTAATACTGGGCCTTGAGAATTGCTAAGCATCAGTTTTCCAGCTGATGGTTGACTTTTGAACTTTTTCTTGGTCAGCGATTGAGGATGTTTCCATTCCATTCTTTTCTAAACCCAAATCTGTCGTGGATTATTTCATAGTCAGAACCATGACTGATTTGCCATATAATCAATCCACTGTCACCTGTCTATTCGACAGAATCATTTCACATGCACACTCAATGTTGTTGTCATCAACTGTGGATGTGGATGAGTGTTTTAATATAACCAGAGTGCAGATAATTTCTCACTCATCCTCGTACTTTCAAATGCTTACTTAATTGATTTTATTCCTATTGGAACCCTTTGAGGTTGTACTGTCCCTGTTTTTACAGATGACAGCAAATTACTTATCTAGGAGTACACATAGTAGTAAGACTAGGGTTCATTCAGCTCCAAGTATATAGCAATAGTATTTGACCTAAAGTTTTCTGACTCCAAGTTCTATGACCTTCATAATATATTTGCTGGTTGTACAACATAATGGAATGACACTTGGTTATTGCTGTACCCTCTCCACAAGGAAAACTTTCATCCCTGCAGTCTCAGCAAAATCGAAATATTTAGGACCAATTACTCTTGTTAAAATCTGTGTATTCATATGTGTCTTTAAAACTATCATGCATTTCAAGTTTTTCAGTTATCTAACACATATGCTTTAATAGGAGGAATGGCACAAAGGATCTGTGAATTAATTCTTTCCTCTTGTGTGTATCTGCAGTGTGGAACGTTATGATCCAAGTAAGGACTCCTGGGAGATGGTAGCATCCATGGCAGATAAAAGGATTCACTTTGGCGTGGGTGTCATGTTAGGCTTTATTTTTGTGGTGGGTGGACATAATGGTGTCTCACATTTGTCAAGCATTGAAAGATATGACCCTCACCAAAACCAGTGGACTGTGTGTAGACCAATGAAAGAACCCAGAACAGGTAATAATAGTTTATTATTTTTTAAACACATAGGGCAATACTTTCTTTTAGTGATTGTCTTAGAATGTAATAATAAGGATATTATATCCAGGAAACAGGTGGGTTTTTTTCTGTGTGATGAACTTGAGAGACTAGATAAGATTTTTTAAAAAAATAGATTAATTTACTCTGATTATAATAAGCCAATGTTCATTTTGTTTCTCAAACTTGGAGAACGTATTTTGGGAAAGTCTGTTAATAGAATCTATCTTATAAAAACTTTTCTTTCTTCATATAATATTTCTACTGACTTTTTGAAACTCCCTTGTATGTTCCACTTCACCCCCTAAAAAGCACTTATTAAATTGTTCTGTGTAGGTTGTTTTCGTTTTGTTTTTTCCATTTTTCATCAGCCTTCCATATATTCACTTTCAAATGTCCTGTCTTCCTAAGGGGTATTATTGTTGATATGTGCCATGGAGTCTGTTCCGATGTAAATCTTTATGGGAGCAGAAAGCCTTATCTTTCTCCTGCGGAACAACTGGTAGTTTTGAATTGCTGACCGTGAGATTAGCAGCCCCATTCGTAACCACTATACTAACAGAGTTTAGTTGTAATGAACTATTTCAGTCATTAAACTGTAATTGGTTTCTGTGATGGAGTCCTGGTGTGGTGCTGTGGGTTAATGTGTCAGACTGCAAAGTTGTTTGAACTACAAGGTCGGTGGTTCAAGCTCACCAGCTGCTCCTCGGAAACCCTATACAGGGTCACTATGGGTCGGAATTGACTCGACAGCACTTTACAACAACAAGTTTCTGTGATATCCTTCAGAAGGAAAACATAAATTCATGGTCTAGTATCAATTTGAAATATTTCATCATAACTTGAAAACATGATTAATTGAATGATTTATAGGAAAAAATTGTTAAACATGTAGAAAGATACAGGATAATGCGCTGGACTCAAGGTCCGTTTGAGCTGTAAGGTCAGCGGTTCATATCTACCAGCGTCTCCTAGGAAACCCTATACAGGATTGTTCAAGTCTGAACTGACTCCATGGCACTTAAAAACTACGAAGTTTTAATAGTAGTTTCCTTTATATTGAAGAGTGGAAGGTGGTGGAGGTTAGGCGAGGGAGAATTCAACTTTTGCATTAAGGTTTTCTACTCTGCCCCCACACCTAATGCTATAATGCTATAGTTAATATATTATTGAAATTCAAATCGTTTGATAAAATATTAAAATATATATTTTATTTTTAGTGAGAAAAGGCCTAATTTGTTGTTAATATGTTTATTACCTCTTTTCGATTTTAACTTTCCTAGGAGTTGGTGCTGCAGTAATTGATAACTACCTTTATGTAGTCGGTGGTCACTCAGGATCCTCCTATCTCAACACCGTGCAGAAATATGACCCTATCTCAGATGTGTGGCTGGATTCAGCTGGAATGATATATTGTCGCTGTAACTTTGGATTAACTGCACTTTGACAAGTGTAAACTTGTGGAATAGTATGGTGATGGGACTTACACCACGTGAAATTTGACCAGTTTTCAGAGACCCAAAAGCTGCATTGCTTTCTTTAACTTGACATGGAGACTCAGAATTCTGCTGGTACTTTGTATTGACCCATAGTTATGGTCACTCTTGATTACACAGTAAATAATCAAAAAAACAAAAGGAAAGACCTTGCCAATTGAATCGTTCACTTATTTTTCCTCTAAGACTGGGTTATAGTAGTTTGTTTATAAGTGAACATGTGGAGAAATCCCTGCTGCTTTTTTTGTTTGTTTGTTTGTTTTAAGCTTGCTCTCTCCTTTTTCCTTGGTATGCACCGTGATTTACTAGGATGAAAGATGCTTAGATGCTTGAGTGTATTGAATGACAGAATGGAGTGCTAATACCCTAATGGATGTAAATTCATATGTTTCACATTTTTAAAAACAGATTAAGGGCTGCTTTTTCTTTTGGTATGGTTTAAGGGTTTTAAGTAGCATGCCATCAAAAGTCATCTGGATACTATTCATACGAAATGGGTTTAGTGCTGGGGATAAGTGGTAATAAGCTTGCAAGACAAATGCTTTAATTGCCTTGCTATCTGGGGTCCTGTTTTAAGAAGTCAGATATTTGCTGTTTATGCCCTTTTCAATATGGGCAGATTAATGCTGGATGAATTTAGTTATCATCTATGCTAAGTGTGAATATCGAAAGAATCATATTTCTTTCATAGTTTTTCTTTATTATTACGATAGGCTTCTCAGTGTTGATGTCAGTATTTGAGAAATGTTTAGTACCAGCCTCAGTGTGTATTAATTTTTTTCATATATCCTTATAATAATTTTAATTTTTTAAGTCTCATTGTTTTTCTGTAATTGTCCAGATATAAAAATGGTGCTAATTGTAGGATAGCAAGACTATAACCAAGGTTTTTTTGGTTGTTCAATATGCGATATATGCATGACGTCTTTTGGTAGTGTTGTGTTGTTTTGTTTTGTTTTTTCCCAATTTTATTTACTTGATTTATTTATGCTTATTAAAAATGTTAAATGAGTATGCTAATGTTAACATCCAAAAATCATCTAAATGGTCAATGCTACCCTTTTTATAGTTCCTGAATGGTGATTCAAAGAATCGTTTTTAGTCTTCTTTTTATGCTATATGTTACAGATCCTTAACAAAAATAATATGCATTAAATATAAAGCACTCTAGGAAGTTATGCATTACTTTGTACATTTCTAGGTAACTGAATATTTTACATTTATTGAGGAAAACTGGAACTCGATGTTTACTTGAGTAGTGGTTCTAAACTCAGTTTTACTTTGACTAAAGAAATGATCTTTTAAAGCAGATTTGTTTGCTATAGCCGAGTGACACCTTATTTTAAAGAAGTGATTAATTTATTTCATTTTAGCATGTTTTAGTAAATGTGTGTTAGTCCAAACACATGAACTTGCATTTTATTATAGTTTTGGTACTTGTATTTTTGGTACTCTCGTTGTTTTGTTTTCTTTTTCCTTGCCCACTATTGTAGTCTTTGCAAAGCCAGAATACCTTTTTTCCTAAGAAAAAAAATCATTTCATTAAGTGCCATAATGTTCTAAACTATTATTAAGAAGCCATTTGTAATTATAAAACATAAGGTTTATTTGTTAGCATATGTTATTTCTTGAAAACTATTTGTAGCTGGTCAGTTTGCAGTTTTCCTTGTTCTTTCATAAACTGCCAGTTGTAGATTTGAAAATGTTATAAAACTATGTAAAACCATCTTAATCATAAAAGTAGTGTCATGCTTTGTGACTGTTTGCACAGATTATAAAACCTTGCGAGTGATTTTTAGTCTCTTCTAATTTGAATTTAATAGGAGCACTAATAAAATTGACAGGCTGAATATTTTCTATATTGCTTGTTTAAATAACAATATATAGCAATAACTTTTTAATTTATTTCAATAAATCTGTTTAATAGAAACAAGGTGCACTATTGTAGTTGGCTTAGACTTTATTTAAAGAAAAGCAATTTAAAATAGACTCACCATGTTCTTACTTAGTTTTTAATTCCCAAACTCAATTTTCTTTCTGTATATATCATTGAAATCAATTGCATCTTGTTATACTGTTTTTAGCCCTCTCCCTCCACAAGGTCGGAGAATTTGAAAGAGACTATAGAAAATTTTTATTTTAATTTTTAGAACAGATCTATACTGCACATGTTCTTTTAATTGTTTTACTCATATATTACCCCATCTTTTAAATTAGGATAAACTGTATAATCACTTGGTATAATAGTTCAAAGGCATATGTATTGTTAATTATTTTTTAATAAACTGAAATTCCACCTTGGTGAAAATTAAATGTGAAATATCGTGGACAATATTAGGTACCATATACCAGAGAGCAAATTAAGAAAACCTGTCAAGGCAAGAGGAAAAGCATTAAAAATTTAGAAATATATTTATTTTAGGAATGGTTGACCTACTGTACTCTTCCTAACAACCTGAGCAACTAACATGATAGAGTCTTCTTTTACAGTTTTGTGAGAAGATTCATGATAATACCTGTCTGGCAGATTGTAATTTGAAAGCCGTGTGTTTCTCATGTTAAAGAGAATTAGATTATTTGGTTATAAATTGTCAGGTTTATAGGTATTGAAATGATCCATATTCAGGCAAAGACAGGAAAGCTATGTACAATTGCTCAGAAATATTTTTGGAAAAGAGTGGCAGTGGGAAATAGAATTAGTCTAATCAGTTATAAGATCATTGTTTCTATAATTATGTTATGAAAACTTAATCTATTAGAAATGTTTTGTTATTTAATATTTGTTGGATATATAGCACGAAAATGATTTTCAGTGTAGCTTGAAGGATTTTATGTAAATGCCATATGTTATTGTTAATATTACTTAAATATGTGAATGAATACTGAAAGATAGCAAGTGGTATCAGGTAATAGGAAATGACATTAGATTTTGCAAAGCTATTTTGATAGTTTTACATGTGGAGTGTCTGCTATATGTAGAAGACATTTTGCTCGATTCCAGGGGGCTATAAATAAAAATGTTAACAGTCTTCACTCAGAATAAAATATAGCAGAGAACACCTGTACCTAAATTGTTATGGTGATGAAAGTGCGAATCTAATTCCCTGTCTCCAACAGCATAAGATGTTAAGATTAGAGATTCATTGTATGTATAAACAAATCTTTAGTGTCAATTAGCTTTTGTTGGCATAAAAGGAATTCTGACAAACCTAATGCTTATAGAACTTCAGATTTCCTGGATTTGGTAATCATTTTCTAGTAGAAAAACAAAATTATATAAAGAAGAAAATATCCCATAATATCAAGGCTCTGGCTAGCATTGAGGAATATCTATGTACATATAATACTGTGTTTACTTTTTATTTTGGTGTTGGATTCCTAGTATTGTCACCTAAGTGCTCATTTTCAGGAAAATCAGATTCTACAATAAATTTACTGCTTATGTTTCAATAAACTTGTGATAACCTCTATAACCTCTGTAGTCTGAAAAGATAAGATGTCACATGTCAAATTAACATCCAGTTCTACTTCTTAACCCTTTTTTTTCTTTGTAAACAGCACTTTAATTAGATGTGATTTAATTAGGTGTGATTATTCTGTGGTTGGATATGTATTGGAATTTTCACTTATTGGCATATTGATTCAGTATATTGATACATTTATTTGAAAAGAGTGAGAAATAATATGTTTTAAATAAAATAATAGGTTTACAAGTTTTCTTACTGGTGTGTGAAGTTAGATTTAATAAAATCCAGTTTACATCTCTGCAGAGAGAAAAATTGTTATCCATATTTGTCTTTTATATTACACATATTTGACTAGAAATAATTTATTGTTAATTTTGTCAAGTTATCATGTGTAAGTCCCATTAATTTTAAAATACTAAGCAAAAAGTTCCAAGTTTGCCTTAAACTACAAATGAAATTAAAGAACTGGATGATAATGCCTATATTTTTGCCTTATGAATTATGCTGTGTCATAAACCAGAGATGGTTTTGATTTTAACAGGATTCTGAAATTTTGTAGATGTAGAGTACTGACACGTGTACTCTGTTGTAAAGAATGTGATCTAGTTGTGGATTACTGTTTAAATGTTTTTGTATATGTGTTTTACCTCTCAATACCTTTTTAGCATCAGGGCTTTTATTTTTGTTTACACGGTCAAGTGGCATTTAACTTGTTGAGGCTTGTATTCTTTTGTCTTTTATTTTAAAAGTTTATTGTTGTATACTATTGTGGTAATGATCTGTAATAATTATAGCTAAATTTCATTTACTGTGAAATGTTTAAAATAAATTGGAAAACACGTTTCTTGTGTGTGTGTCATATAATAAATTCATGAGCTGACTCAAGCTAACTTTGTCAATCTCAAATCTTAAGTTATTTTTGGTAGGTAAGTAATGGCCTTGACAGTTGAGGTGAGTGTGCTGTAGCCACTTTTTTACATTCTCATTATTAGATAATAATGAAAACATGTCTTACACTAAATTCTGCCACAGGTTTAGACTTTATGAAACAAGCATTCCTTAGCAAAGCAGGCACAAATTGTCATTGGGGTTAGTAAGCTTGATGAAGTTTTAGCTTTCTGTTCTTTTAGAATCCTTGACCAGCTATATAATAAAGATATACTTGTTAGATAGATACTATCCATAATGGGTTTTTGTTCTGTTTTCATTTGGCAAGCACAATACAAAAACCTGAGAAAAAGATGCCCAACTTTAAATCTGTTTTCTCAAAAACTTAAAATTTTTTCGATGTACGTGAAAACATTCAAGAATATATAATCATTTAAACAACCCAAGGACACATTCTGCAAGCCAGCAGCCTCCTTGCTATGGCTCACAACCTTTCTCTTTCCTTGAGTCTAGAGTCCTCAGCTGCTCTATCTCTCCATGCTGTCACCTCTGCCTACATCTCTGGTCCCACATTCTTCTCATGCTTTTGTGTCTTGATGGTCTAGTAATAGAGTCCTCTATTACTAGAATGTAAGAATAACTACTTCCCCCTTTATGCTAAAAAAACTTCTACCTTTACAGTTGTGATGATCATAATGAGTCATGATAACAATTGCTTACTAATTAATCAAAAGACTCCTATCCCCGTTTTCTTTCACCAGACCCGTCTAGACGAGATAAAAACTACTCAGTGGGAATTCTACCTTCCCATACACACTGAAATTCAAGTCCCTCTTGAAAACTTGTAAGCCAGCCACTTCATGCCTTTATAGTCCTCCCCCACCTCCATTTTAAGCAGCCAATGTCTTAAATTGCCCATCCCTATCAACTCTGTTTACCGAAGGGATCCATAATGTTTTTCAGATTGTTTATTGTTTTAAACTACTCTAGATTATGCCATATCAATATAAATGTAGTTGTTGTATACCATTAAGTTGGTTCTGACTAATAGGGACCCTGTATTGGGTTTCGAGGAGCAGCTGGTGGGTTTGAGCTGCTGACTGGTGGGTAACAGTCCAGTACTTCA